CTAGGCTGACCGCCACACCACTCACTCTAGCTGGGCAACAAAGTGAGACTCTGTCTTCAAAAAAAAGAAAATATTTCTGAGGCCGGGCGCGGTGGCTCAGAATGTAAATCCTAGCACTCTGGGAGGCCGAAGGCGGAGGATCGCTCGACGGTCAGGAGTTCGAAACCAGCCTGAGCAAGACGAGACCCGTTCTACTACAAATGAAGAAATTATTGCGACAACTAAAATATATAGAAAAAATACCGGCTGGTGGCGCATGCCTGTATCGCTACTCCGGAGTGAGCAGAGGAGCTTGGAGCTGGATTTAGGTGCTGTGAGTGCTGACGCACAGCACTCATCTACAGAGACTTCGTCTCAAAAAAAAAAAAAAGAAAATATTTCTGTTACAGCGTACAGTGTTTGTGTTTTAACTAAGTGTTATCACCAGAGTCAAGTTTTAAAATCAAAAGGTTTGAAGTAAAATGTTAGTGAGCTATGGTTTTGTTTGAAAATATTTTTTATATTTATGTGCTAAAGGTCAATTTTACAACATCTACAGTAGCATACAGTCAATGTATAGGCCTTCAACATTCACTCGTACTCACTCATTGATTCCCTAGACAATCCAGTCCTGCAGTCCATGCCGTTAGGTACCACACCGGTGTACCTTTTTATCTTTTTACATTTTTTGCTGTAGCTTTTCTGTTTAAAAGTTAGATATAAAATACTTAGCATTGTGGTTACAGTTGCTGCATAATTGTGCTTTCATGGAGCAACTAGATTATACATTATACCTAGGTGTGTAGCAGCTATACAATCGGTTGTGTAATTTCTGCTGTTTGCACAACAGATGCGTTTTTAAGACTGTATCCCCGTCATAAGCGACCAAGTCGCTGTATTCGTGGTTTATTTTTTTGAAATTATATACCGTAGTATCTCCTGCTCAAATTAGATACATATCTGCTGATATTGCCAATGAGTTGACATTGTGTTTGTTTCATAACATTGACATCTGGCAGGCGTGGTGGCTCCACGCCTATAATCCCAGCACCTCTGGGGCGAGGAGGGTGGATCGCTCAAGGTCAGGATTCGAAACACTGAGCAAGACAACCCAGACTCTACTAACAATAGGAAAGCAATTAATTAGCCAACTAAAAAATATAGAAAGAAAATGAGCAGGCATGGTGGGGCATGCCTGTAGTCCCAGCAGTAAGCGTCGCTGAGCCCAGGAGTTTGAGATTGCTTGTGAGTAGGCTGAACACCACGCACCAGCGGGCAACAAGAGTTAAGACTGTTTCAAAAAAAAAAAAAAGTTGTAACATGCGTATTATGAAGCACTGTCTGGCACAACAGGCATTCAACCAGCTGAATCAGTTTTTCCAGACAGAAATTTAAAGAAGAGGAATAGAGTGGCCCTGAAGGACAAAGTTAAATAGCAATAAACAGGTATATTTATGATTGCACTTAATGAGCCAGGGCATTGTGCTAAATAATTCAATGGGGTATTTCATTCATTCTCACAACTACTGTAGGAGATATGGATTGTTAGAAACCCATCCCAAAGACCAGGTAACAAGTCAGAGTGGTTAAGGCCTTCCCAAGATTACACAACCTGAATGGCAAAATGGACGTTCAACACAAAGCTGACTTCAGGCATTAAGGAAGAGAATGAATGTTGGATGATGGGCATCTCCTGGCTGATTAGAGTTTGGGCACCATGCTGTGAGTCTAGGGCTGGGCTAGGCTGAAGGGAGGGGAAAAGGACACAGTTTAGGACTTACAAACTTGGACTTACAAGACGAACCCCTTGTTTACATGCCTATAAGAGACCAATTCGAGTAGCAGATGATAGTTCCTTGAGGGCTGAGACCGTCTGACACCCGGTAAACCAGAGACTTGAAGTCACAGAAATGGGACCCTGACCAGAAAGGTCGAAATCAGTGACCTCTGACCCGAACCCAAGCATGGCCTGAACGCAGGGCTGGCTTCACAGGTGTATAAACCCGTAAACACACAAGGATAGGCTTAGAATGACCCCAACACTTGATTTAACCTGCTGCTGTCGATCTTAAAACCTTGATAATTTTGACCGACAGCCCAGACATTTGCATTTTGCACGGGGTCCGCAAATTATGTGGCCGGTTCTGCTGCACGGTAAACCGCTCCTTTAAGCAGGTTAGGAGATAGGTATTGGGAAAACAAAACCACATATTTCCAATAAGCTCCACACGTTACGCACCAATCAAACTTGCCCACTGGTCTTGCGTAGACGCGGCGCAGGGAAAAGCAACGCAGCCCAAGCCAGAAACTGGAACCAACGCCGCGCATGATGGGAATACAGCCAGCCCCCGCCGCCGACCCGGCATGCCGGGCGCAGCTCCGCCTCCGCTGAACCATACGAGTTGAGGCTGCGGCGCTAGCCTCGGTGGGAGCTCGGGACTCGGAGGCGCCTGCACGCGTAGAAGTCCCCGGCAGACGCAAGGATAAAGCACAGCGGCGCCGGCCCGGGAGACGCGGTTCCCGCGATTTGGGTCGCCACACGCGAGGCAGCCTCCAAACCTCCCAGAGGCCCCGCGCGGCAGGGTCCTAACGGGCCGCACCGCCTTCCCGCCGCCACGTGTGTTCAGCGCGATGCCCAAATCCAGCGCGACAAGACAAGGTGGGAGAAGGGCGTCGGGACCCCACGGGTCCCGAGGCTGGCTGCAAAACCGCGTTGGTGGTTCGGGGAGGCCAGGACACAGGAAGGCACCGCAGGACTTCCTGCAGGTGTCGCGCCTTGCTGCGGCGAACTGGGTGGGCAGCTTTGGGCGGCCGAGTCGCCGGGGGTGATGAGCCTGTTACGGGAAGACGGCGGGACTCATTTGCTCACCCTCCAGTGGCCCTTGCCCAGGTCTGGCCGGAGAGCAGCATACCTAACCAGACTGTACTGCTGTCGCCTCGCTTCCTTTCCCACCTCCGCCGGTGCACACCTTCCTTCGCCTGCGCTACGCGCGCCCCCGCATTTCCCCTTTACCTTCTTTGACACAGCTGTTCTCCGCCTCTGGCGCTTCTAACTGCAGTGTTTCGCCTCGCATGCTTGTGCTCTGCTCTCGTATAGCGTCCCAGCCTCAGCTGTCAGTTCGTAGGGCACCTATTGAGAGCTTGTTTGTGAGTACCTCTGCTGTGTTGGCATCCTCTCACCCTAGCATTTCAGTAACTTAGGGGACTGGCAATTTTCTAGGCGTTGAGGATATAGCAGCCTGGTATTAATCAGGGAAATCCCCCAAAACACCAAAATTAAACAAGTGTAGCGTGTCAGGTGAGTAAAGAAAAGGTCAGAGAGATTTTGTAAATGTATCCAGGAAGGTCTCTTATTGTGTGACAAATGAGCAAGAAAACCTGAAGAAAGGAGTGAGCATCTTGTGGAATTCTTGGGAATGATGTTCCAATTAGAGAGAACGTTGAGTGCAGGCATCGAAGTGGGAGTATATTTGACACGATGTTCTGGGACGGTGTGGTGGATCAGAGTGCCAGATATAGTTGAGGGAGGGATTGGCAGAAGGCAGGACTTCATAGGTAAGATTGGCTTCAACCAGGTGGAGTGCATAGCCATCCTAGGCTCAGGCAGAAGGTGATGGTGATTTACTTTAAAGGGTCACTCTGTTGATCTTGTTGAGACAGCATGGGAAGAATGGGGGCAGGATGGAAAGCGGTGAGGCCGCAGTAGTCCCAAAGAGGTGTGCTATTGGCAAGGATAGCAGTGCAGTATGATGGAAAGTGCCCTGCCATATTTCATTTGCTCCTCTGCTGCACATTGCTATGCTTGTGTGATTGCCGTTTGTATGTGCTTTGTGGAGGAGGGACTGTGAGTGCCAGGCAAGGTGAAGAAGGAGGAGGCCAGGCCCCTTCTGAGGGCACCAGGGTTTGCAGTTGATCTCGGGTTTTTGTGTTTGTTTTCTGGGTTCTCACTGTGTTGCCCAGGCTAGTCTCAACTCCTGGCCTCCAGCAGTCTCCGCCCCAAGTAGCTGGGATTAAGACAGGAGCCCACTGCCCCCAGCCTATTTGTGCTCTGTTAAGTGTTTAATGGGACCAATTTGATTCTGTGGAAGGTCCCAAGTCAGACTGGCAAACTGCAGAGTGGGGGAAAATTGCGGCCCCAAGGCCATTGCTACACCTCAGGTCCAAATTGCAAAAAGAAGTGCAAATACATGAGATTCAGTCCAGATCATCGTTCCGCAGCACAGGCGAAGTCTGCC